CCCAAGCTGGAGTTCAGTGGCTCGATCTCGGCTCACTGCAACCTCCACTTTCTGGGCTCTAGCAATTCTCCTGCCTCAGCTTCCCAAGTAGCTGGGACTACAGGCACACGCTGCCACACCCAGCTCACTTTTTTTTTTTTTTTTGGATTTTTAGTAGAGATGGAGTTTCACTGTGTTGCCCAGGCTGGTTTCAAACTCCTGAGCTCAGGTAATCCACCCGTCTCAGCCTCCCAAAGTGCTCGGATTACATGTGTAAGCCACTGTGCCTGGCCCCTTCTCTCATTTCTAAGGTTTCACCACTGAGTTTGATATTTGCTATAGAAAGTAATTCCTGTGTATTCTTATTTAGCTATCAGATCTCTAAAAATCATGAATGAGTGTTGAATTTTTCAAGTGTTTTCCCTGTATCTATGGAGATGGTCACATGGGTTTTTCCTTTAAATTATTAATGTGAAGAATTGCATTGATTGCTAAGTAAGAATACACAGGAACCGGCCGGGTGCGGTGGCTCACGCCTGTAATCCCAGCACTTTGGGAAGCCGAGGAGGGTGCATCACAAGGTCAAGAGATCGAGACCATCCTGGTCAACATGGTGAAACCCCGTCTCTACTAAAAATACAAAAAATTAGCTGGGCATGGTGGCGCGTGCCTGTAATCCCAGCTACTCAGGAGGCTGAGGCAGGAGAATTGCCTGAACCCAGGAGGCGGAGGTTGCGGTGAGCCGAGATCGCACCATTGCACTCCAGCCCGGGTAACAAGAGCGAAACTCCGTTTCAAAAAAAAAGAAACGAAATTGTTACTTTGAAAGGCCAAGGCAGGAGGATCATTTGAGGCCAGGAGTTCAAGATCAGCCTGAGCAATACAGGAAGACCCTATCTCTATAAAAAAATGTAAAATTAACTGAGCATGGTGGCAGGCATGTACCTGTAGTCCCAGCTACACAGGAGGCTGAAGCAGGAGGATTGCTTGAGCCCAGGAGGTCGAGGCTGCAGTGAGCTGTATTCACACCACTGTACTCTAGCCTGGGCGATAGGTGAGACCCTGTATCAAAAAAAAAAAGAGAAATTGTTGCCTAATATAAGGTCACAAAGATTTATGCCTATGCTTTTTTCTAAAAGTTTTATCGTTTTGGCTCATATATTTAGAGCCAATTTGTATAAATTTTTTTATTTTTTATTAATTATAAAGATGGGGTTTCACCATGTTGGTCAGGCTTGTCTTGAACTCCTGACCTCAGGTGATCTGCCCACCTTGGCCTCCAAAGTGCTTGGATCACAGGTGTGAGCCACCACGCCCGGCCTGTATCAGTTTTAAAATCGGGACGTTCACTAGCTTCGTTTTTCTTACTGAGGTTATCTTGGCTATTCCAAGTCCCTCGAATTTCCTTAGGAATCTTAGGATCAGCTTGTCAATTTCTGCAAAGAAGCCAGCTGGAATTTTGATGGTGACTACATTGAATCTGGAAGTCAATTTGGGGAATATTGCCATTTTAACAATATTGTGTCTTCCAATCCATGAGTATAAAATGTCTTTCCATTTACTTAGGTATTCTTTAATTTTGTTCAATTAAAATACAAAGTATTACTTAGTACTTTGTAGTTTTCAGAGTATAAGTTTTGCATTCTTTTGTTAAATCTATCCCTAAGTATTTTGTTATTTTTGGTGTTATTGTAAAAGACCGTGTTTTCTTAATTTTATTTTTTGGATTGTTCATTGCTAATGTATAGAAATACTGCTGATTTTTGTATACTGATCTTGTATCCTACAACCTTATTAAACTCATTTATTCTGTTTTTTAATGGATTTCTTAGGATTTTCTATGTTATTTGCAACTAGAGATTATTTTATTTCTTCCTATCAATCTGGTTGCCCCCACACTATTTTCTTGCTAATTGTCTTGGCTGGAACCTCCAGTACAATGTTGAATAGAAATGGAGGGAGTGGATATCCTTGTCTTGTTTCTGATCTTGGGGCCAGGGTTGGGGGAGAAGCATTCGCATTCAGTATCTCCCCATTATGTACGACACTAATTGTGGGTTTTTCATAGATGTTCTTTATCAGTTCTTTTCTAGTCCTAGTTTCTTGATTTTTTTTTAAATTTATTTAAATATAAGATGGGGTTTCACCAGGAGGCCAGGCTGGTCTTGAACTCCTGACCTCAGGTGATTCACCCACCTGGGCCTCCCAAAGTGCTAGGATTACAGGCATGAGCCACCGCGCCCGGCCTCTTGATTTTTTTAAAATCATGAAGGGGTATTAATGTTTTTCAAGTTTTTTCTGCATCTGTTAAGATGATCATGTGGTTTTTGTCTTTTATTTTACAGATATGTGTATTACATTAATTGGTTTTTGGATGTTAAACCAATCTTGCGTTCCTGAGATAAGTCCAATGGAGTGTAATTCTTTTTATTTATATATTGCTAGATTTGGTTTGCCTGCATTTTGTTGAAAATTTTTGCATCTCTATTTGTAAGAGCCCTCATGCCCATTTATAATTAATCCCATTCCCACTCCTAACCTCAGGCAATCACAGTCACGAATATACTTTCTTTCTTTTTGAGGCAGGATCTCACTCTGTCACCCAGGCTGGAGTGCAGTGGTGCCATTTCAACTCATTGCGACCTCTGCTTCCTGAGTTCAAGCGATTCTCCTGCCTCAGCAGCCCAAGTTGCTTGGACCACAGGCACGCACCACCATACCTGGCTTGTTTTGTTTGTTTTCTGTAGAGACTAGTTCTCACTATGCTGCCCAGGTTGGTTTTGCACTCCTGAACTCAGGTAATCCACCCGCCTTGGCCTCTCAAAGTGCTGGGATTACAGGCATGAGCCACTGTGCCTGGCTCTTTGTAGGTTTTCCTATTCTGTACATCTCATATACATGGAATCGTGATCTTTTGTGATCTTTTCTGGCTTCTTTCATTTAGCACCATGTTTTTGAGGATCATATTGTGGCATGAATCAGTATTTCATTCTATATAGTTGAATAGCATTCCATTGTATGAATCTAATACATTTTGTCTATCTATTCACCAGTTGATGGATATTTAGGTATTTCCAGTTTAGGGCTATTATGAATGAATAATGCTGCTGGAAACATTTGTGTCCAAGTCTTATCTTTGCATAGATATAGTTTTCATTTCTCTCCAGGTAGAAATGATCCTACTTGAAATAGGAATAATTCTATACGTAGGAGTAAAATTACTGGGTCTTCTGGTAGTTTCATGTTTATCCTGTTGAGGAGCTGCCAAACTGTTTTCCAAAGTAGCTGCAAAGTTTACAGCCCCAACAATGTACGAGGGTTACTTGGGAACTTCTGAGTATTTCCTCATCTATAAAGTGATAATGAGACTGATTTCCTGAAGTTGTGGTGAGCATTAAATGAGATTATGGTGTATAAAGGCCAGGAAGCTTTCCAAAATGACCAACCCCCTCCCAGGTGTACATATAATTCATGTAATGTATACCAATCACAATTGTTACATTATTTATAATAATTATTATTATTATTTTGAGACAAAGTCTCACTCTGTTGCCCAAGCGATTCTAGTGCCTCAGCCTCCTGAGTAGCTAGGATTATAGGCGCATGCCATCATGCCCGGCTAATTTTTGTATTTTTAGTACAGACGGGGCTTCACCATGTTGGCCAGGCTGCTCTCAAACTCCTGGCCTCAGGTGATCCACCACCTGCCTCGGCCTCCCAAAGTGCTGGGATTACAGGTGTGAGCCACACTGCACCTGACCTATAATTATATTTGTAGGTTTTGTGTTTTGTGAGCATCTTAAAAATGGGGACTAGGTCTTATTCATATTTGTCTTAGTGCCTAACATGTAACATATTCAATAAGCCATAATAATATCCATGTGCAAAGTACTAATGCTTACACTTTAATGTCAAGAAAACTACAAAAAAGGCTCTTAAACTGGGTCTTGTAGAATAAGTAGGCGCCCACTCAGCTGAAATGAAGCCAGGCATCCTAGGTGGAAGGAACAGCATGTGGACAAGCCCGGAAGAGGGAAGACTGATTTCCGGAGCTGACAAGGAAGCCCAGTGTGGCAATGGGTGGTGGGAAGGGGTGGCCAGGGAGGCCACCAGTGAGGTAGAGGAAGCCAATCAGAAGACTGTAAATGGCCATTTATACCATGCAAAAGGGTTAGAACTTCGTCCTGAGGGTAGAGAGGAGTCATGGATGGGCATTAAGCAGGAGACTAACAAGATTAGAACTACATTTTAGAAAGATCTCTCTGGGTAGCAGAAGGCATGCGTTCTCAAACTTCAGCTGCATTAAAATCACCTGGGGGGCGGGGGGATGCTCAAGGAGACTCAGAATTCTGAGTCCCACCCCATGAGTTTCTTTTTCAGCAAGTCTGAGGCAAGGTCTCTCTTTTTTTTTGACAGTCTCACTCTGTTGCCCAGGCTGGAGTGCAGTGGTGTGAGCTCACTGCATCCTCTGCCTCCTGTGTTCAAGCAATTCTCCTGCCTCCGCCTCCTGAGAAGGTTGGATTACAGGCACCCACCACCACGACCGGCTAATTTTTTTATATTTTTAGTAGAGATGGGGTTTCACCATGTTGGCCTGGCTAATCTTGAACTCCTGACCTCAAGTGATCCACCACACCCAGCCTGAAGCATGGTCTTGAATATACAGGTCTCACATTTCCAGGTGATACTGCTGCTGGTGGTCTGAGGACTACAGTTGGACCCACTGGTGTAAAGGGTGGGACAGAGAATATGGGCAGCAAGACCATTCTGGAAGCTGTGGAAATAACCCAGAGAGGAGGAGACAGAGCCAGGGCTGATCACATTTTAGATCTGGGTGCTGTGAATTTTTCAGTACCTTAATGGTGAGATTGCAGCCATGGTGGTAAGAGGCTGTTTCTTGGAGGGACATCTACCAGGCAATCATGTGTCCCTGGCAATGGTCAGGACAGCCCCTGACACCCGGCCTGGGGGGACCGATCCACAGTCGGTAATGAGCTTCAGAAAGCACGACAAAGACAAGATTCCCAGAGTTGCAGTTTAATGTTTAATGCCCAATTATCTCAATACAAGGAGGCTTATGTGGTGCTCATCAAGACAGGACCAGGGTGAAACAAGACGTCAGGGAAATGACCTGCATGAGTCCCAGCATGGGACCACTTTCTCTTGGGTCCAGCTCACCCTCGAAAAGTGCCACAGGCAAGGTTCTTCGGGTCACCCAGGAGCCAGCAGGCTGGTTGGGCTTGTGGCCACCATAGTCACTAAGGGTCCTCATGGGAGAACAGGGTTCTGGGACCTCAAGATACAATGACAAGAACCAGAAAGCTGCTTCCAAACAACCCCAAAAGGCTTTCACTTCACATACAGTAAGCCGCACAACACCTGGATGCTGGTTCACCCAAACCCTTTCCCTAAAACTAAACACTGTGCAGAACGCAGGCTGAGAACACGTGGGGAGGGAGAAGTCAGAACCATCCCGAAGGGTTTTTCAAGCTTGACCACCTCCCTCTTCCCTGCAGGCACACCAGCTGGTCCCATTATAGTGGAAAAGAGTCACCCTCTAGTCTGCTCTAACACCTTTAATGGGATGGGAGTTAGGAACATGTCCCTGGCTTCAATAAATCTCTGAATCTCCAACTCTACTGAATGGTTTCCTGGAATCCCAAGCTTTAGATGTCCCTGGGGACATGGGTGATTTTTGAGGGGCTGCAGAGTTTCCTGGAAGAAATTGTTTACCTCAGAAAGAAACGGGCTTTTCTCCTACCCTAGTTCTTTTTTTTTTTGAGACGGAGTTTCACTGTTGTTACCGACTGGAGTGCAATGGCGCGATCTCAGCTCATCGCAAGCTCCGCCTCCTGGGTTCAAGCAATTCTCCTGCCTCAGCCTCCTGAGTAGCTGGGACTACAGGCATGTGCCACCATGCCCAGCTAATGTTTTGTATTTTTAGTAGAGACGGGGTTTCACCTTGTTGACGAGGATGGTCTTGATCTCTTGACCTCGCGATCCACCCACCTCGGCCTCCCAAAGTGCTGGGATTATAGGTGTGAGCCACCGTGACCGGCCTCTCCTTCCCTAGTTATAAAGTCTACCTGGTGCCTACAGAAAATACCGCTCAGGCCGGGTGCAGTGGCTCACGCCTGTCATCCCAGCATATTGGGAGGCCAAGGTGGGTAGATCACTTGAGGTGAGGAGTTCAAGACCAGCCTGGCTAACATGGCAAAACCCTGTTTCGGCAATAAAAATTTAGCTGGGCATGGTGTTGCATGCCTACTGTCCCAGCTACTCGGGAGGCTGAGGCAGAAGAATCGCTTGAACCTGGGAGGCGGAGGTTGCAGTGAGCCAAGGTCAGGCCACTGCACTCCAGCCTGCGCAACAGAATGAGACTCTTTCTCAAAAAATAAGAGAGAAAAAGAAAAAAAAAGACCACTCAAAATGATGCGTCCTGAAAGCACTCCGTGGAAGTTGGGAGACTTCAAGTGTCACTGACAAGAAGGGGGCATGAACTTGTATCCTACACTGAATCTAAGGCTTAGCCTGGGCAGTCTAGCCCCTTGGCTAGGTAAGGTGTGAAAGGGACAGCACGGGGTCGGGGGGAGACCCCCTGTGCTGAGGACACAGGCCACAAGCCTGAGGGCGGTTCCCCTGTGCAGCCCTATGGAGAGGTGTTTAGGGCATGAGCTTAAATTCCAGACTTCAGTGTTAAACTCATTCCCATGGATCCTACAGGCCTCTTCTCCCTTTTCTCTGATGTAATTCTTGGGGCAATTTCCAGACTGAGCCCAAGGCATGGGAGTCAAACACCTCTGACCTCAGAGATGGCACCTGGCTAAAAGGCAGCCCAGTCGAGGGCAGAGCAAAGCAGCCCACGTACCCCAAACGAGATTCCATGCAGGGTCCCTGGGCCCTGGGCATGCTGGACTTTAAGGTGGGCTTCTGGGCTGCACATGGTGGCTCATACCTGTAATCCCAGCACTTTGGGAGGCCAAGGTGAGCAAATCACGAAGTCAGGAGATCAAGACCATCCTGGTTAACACAGGAAACCCCTATCTCTACTAAAAATGCTAAAAAAAAAAAAAAAAAAAAAGGTAGCTGGGCATGGTGACACATGCCTGTAATCCCAGCAAGTTGGGAGGCTGAGACTGGAGAATTGACAAACCCAGGAAGTGGAGGTTGCAGTGAGCCAAGATCACGCCACTGCACTCCAGCCTGGGAAACAGAGCAAGATTCCGACTCAAAAAAAAAAAAAAAAGAAGATGGGCTTCTGATAAGACTCTTGTATTTAAGGGAGTATTTCTGTAAAAAAGTATTTCTGTAAAGTGTCCAAAATTAGCCCTGCTTATATAGAGTGGGGGCAGCTGTGATCTGCTGACTTCTAGAAGCAGGCTAACTTGGGGTCCCAGGAAGCTGAAGAAACAATGACGCACAATTGTCTTCAACTGGGCATTAGGTCACACTGGGCCGTACCCTCAAATAATTCCGCCTCTCAAACTTCAGACATCAGTGGGCTCAGGAACCAGCCAACAAAACCAACTTCATATTTTAAACCAGATTTTAATGCTACAAACTTATTTTAAAAGTGCTGTCCAGCTGAGCCTCTGAGAAAACCTGGCTCCCTGAGGGGTGGGTGGCGGGCCTCAGACCAACCTGTGCCTCTCTCCAGAAGGCATGGCCTTGGTTCAGCCCAGAGCATCCACATCCCAAGGTGGGTGAGGGACAAGAGCAACTGGGCTGCAGGGACAATGTGAGATGATTAAGCCTCTGGGGGAACAGGCTGAAGCCAAAAGACCCCCTCAGGACCCCAAGCCTGAAGAAGTAACATGAGTCCCTCTCCCCATTAGCTGCCAAGGCCTGGTCTGCCATGACAACCTCTCTCTGTCACCCCTTCAGCATACCAGGGAAAAAAGGAGTGAACAAGTCACCAAGCGCCAGTCACCTCTGTCCTTGGGGGTCTAAGTGAGCTCTGAGGTGGAGAAGTCCTTAAAGAACCATCCCCTTCAATAAACATGGTGGAAAAAATCCTCCCAGGGAGGCAGAGAATGATGCCAGCATTACATGGGGGGCAGAGAGGGTGCTTTTGGCAGTTTCTTGTTTTAATCTGACCCTTCTTATGGTGGGGCTGCCTCTGCCTACCAAGTCCTTGGTGTGAAACAGCTCCTGGACCAGGGCAAGGCAGAAACTCTGAGGAAAGGTGTCCGCCACAGCCATAACAGCTACCCTCCACGTTCCTGATCTGTTTTTCTCAGAAGCTTGTCTCTGCTGGACTATTTTTATACCTCAAGGGGAGGGAGAGGTAAGGACTTCCTCAGGAAAGGGGTCTCCTGAGCTGGCAACTCCTGTTTCCATGGGAGCCTCAGTGCTACCTGCCCTGGAATGGCTCCCTGGAACCATCTCTGGGACAGAGGAGACCAGGAAGCCAAAGCCGGTGCCTCAGCTGGAGATGTGAGGCTGAGAGCAGGGGGCAGGGTGAAAGGCCCGCAGAGGCTGTTTACTAGAATTACGAGGTCTAAGTGCAATTAGCGTCCCAGCAGACCGGACAGCCCCTCAGAGACCCAGCCCCCACCACCGTGGGGAAAGCAGGGACTTGGCCTGGGCCCCTCCTTTGAAAACCCAGACCTGCCCCAGAACACGGACAGCCATGGGCCCGATGGGCCTGTCTGCAGAGGTTGCACTAAAACCTAGAATAACCTCCCTGCTAAAATTCAGGGGGGACAAACAAATACAACTCCACCTGAAATAAATACAAAGGCATTAGGTGCTTCTTGGTTTGTCGAGGTAATTACCCCTCAAAAGGAGGTAGCAGGGCCTTTCCCTGGACTTGGCCACCTCACCTGCAGCCTTCTTGTGAGAAGTCAGAGGTCAGAAGACTGGATGGGCCTCCCCAGGCCCAGCTTCCACTAGGTAAGCAAGGACTCACCCTCTTATCCACACCTTACCCGCATCATCCACATCTCCCCATACATCTGCTGGCCGGGGTGAGGAAGGAGAGAAGACCCCATGGCCTGAGGGCAGCACTTAGTGTCCAATGTCCCTGTGCAGGCAGAGGACCTGTCAGCCTGTCTGTGAGGAGGTAGAGTCAGGGGTAGGCTGCTGGAGGCAGGCAGGGCCACTCAATTAATCAACAGGTCCCCAAGGTCGTAGGAGTCGAAGAGGTCACTGATGCCCTCACCCGCCTCCAAGCCCCACAGGTAGTCATCCTGGTCCAAGGACGGTGAGAAGCTGATCAGAGGGGAGCTGCACGCCAGGGTTGGGGACAGGAATTGGTCCTCGGTCTGCTGCAGGAGTGGGTGTGGCAGCTCCAGCATGCTGTCAGTAGCTTCCAAGGGCACCAGGGACGGAGGCAGTGGGACCTGCTGGGGGATCGGTGCTGGCGCTGGCACTGGAGACAAACAGACAAAGGTTATGCCTGGCTCGGTGTCCAACTCTCGGCACACAAGGACAGACTTCCGGTTCTCTGGATGACTGCACCCTTGTCCTCTCTCCTCAGCCTGGGGGGACTGTCCTGCTCTCAAAATCTACCTTCCAGCTCCTACACTCAACCCTACCCCTTTTCACTTTTTTTTTTTTGAGACAGCGACACACTCTATCACCTAGGCTAGAGTATAATGGTATGATCTTGGCTCACTGCACTTGGATCCCAGCACTTTGGGAGGCCAAGGTGGGTGGATCACGAGGCCAAGAGATCGAGACCATCCTGGTCAACATGGTGAAACCCCGTCTCTACTAAAAATACGAAAAATCAGCTGGGCATGGTGGCGCGTGCCTGTAATCCCAGCTACTCGGGTGGCTGAGGCAGGAGAATTGCCTGAACCCAGGAGGCGGAGATTGCGGTGAGCCGAGATCGTGCCATTGCACTCCAGCCTGGGTAACAAGAGCGAAACTCCGTCTCAAAAAAAAATTAAAAATTAAAAAAAAATACACACACACACATATGCATTAAAAACCACTATCAGAGGCCAGGCATGGTATGGTGGCTCATGCCTGTAATTCCAGCACTTTGGGAGGCTGAGGCAGGCAGATCACAAGGTCAAGAAATCAAGACAATCCTGGCGAACACAGTGAAACCCCGTCTGTACTAAAAATAGAAAAAAATTAGCTGGGCATGGTGGCACACACCTGTAGTCCTAGGTACTTGGGAGGCTGAAGCAGGAGAATCGCTTGAACCCAGGAGGCAGAGGTTGCAGTGAGCCAAGATTGCGCCACTGCACTCCAGCCTGGGTGACAAAGCGAGAGTCCATCTCAATAAATAAATAAATACATAAATAAATAAAAGTGACCATAAATAAACGGTAAATTTTTGTTATGTTGACTTTACTCCCCACCACACACGAGTATACCTGACCTCATCACCCTCTCCAATTACTGGCCCATTTTTCTGCTCCTTTTCACAGTAAACTTTCTTCAGAGGAGCCTGAGCTTGTCTCTACTTCCTTATTACTATTCTCTCTTCAACTCCCTCCAGTCTGGGGTTTATCCCCACCATGCCCCCGAACCAGTGACCTCCAGATGCTGCTAAATCCAATGGTCATTTCTCTGGCCTCATCTTATTTGACCTTTCAGCAGCCATTCTCCAACACTCCATGCTCTTTTCTCTCTTTTCTTTTTTTTTGTTTTTTTGAAACAGGGTCTTGCCCAGGCTACAGTGCAGAGTGCAGAAGGGTGAACACGGCTCACTGCAGCCTCAACCTCCTGGGCTCAAGCAATCCTCCCACCTCGGCCTCCTGAGTAGCTGGGACCACTGGTGCATGCCACCATGCCCAGCTAATTTTGAACTTTTTCGTAGAGATGAGGTCTCACTCTATTGCCCAGGCTGGTCTTGAACTCCTGGGCTCAAGCAATCCTCCCGCCGTGGTCTCCCAAAGTGCTGGGATTACAGGCATGAGCCATAGCGCCCAGCCTGCTCATTTCCACTTAGAGGTAAGACGGTGATTTCCCATACCAGGATGGGATATGCAACAGGGCACTGGAAATTGCCTGTCAAATACATCTTGATGCTCAGAATCTCCCTCCATCGGAGTCACTCCTTAAGCCCCAGCCAAGTACTATTCTGAAGATACAACTGTGCTGAGGCGCTAGGCTGCCTGGTGAGACTGGCAGTGCAATGGGCATGCGACTTCATGTTTTATTTACTTATTTTGAGGTGAAGTCTTGCTCTGTCGTCCAAGCTGGAGTGCAGTGGCGAGATCTCAGCTCACTGCAATCTCTGCCTCCTGGGTTCAAGCAATTCTCCTGCCTCAGCCTCCTGAGTATCTGGGATTACAGGTGCATACCACCACACTAGCTAATTTTTGTATTTTTAGTGGAGACAGGGTTTTACCATGTTGGCCAGCCTGGTCTCAAAGTTCTGACCTTAAGTAATCCGCCTTCGCCTCCCAAAGTGCTGGAATTACAGGTGTGAGCCACCACACTTGGCGGACTTCATGTTTTGGAGCATCCATTTCCTCCTCTCTGCAAGGGGTATGAGAACTCTACCTACCTCAAAGGGTTGCTCAGAGGACTGCATGATAAGTGCATATGAAGCACTGGTTTGCCCTGGTGCGCTGGCTCACTCCTGTAATCCTAGCACTTTGGGAGGGTGAGGCAGGCAGATACCTGAGGTCAGGAGTTGGAGGCCAAACTGGTCAACATGGTAAAACTCCATCTCTACTAAAAATACAAAAATCAGCAAGGTGTAGTGGCAGGCACCTGTAATCCCAGCTACTCAGGAGGCTGAGGCAGGAGAATCGCTTGAAATCAGGAGGTGAAGGCTGTAGTGAGCCAAGATTGTACCATTGCACTCCAGCCTGGGTGACAAGAGCAAGACTCTGTCTCAAAATAAAAATAAATAATCTTTTTTAAAAAGCACTGGTTTGTCGGGTCTACATGTTGTCCCTGCTCCTATCAAAAATTACTCCCATTTACCAAGGCTAATGGGGGAGGTGGCGGCACTGCCCTTGAGGCAAGGCATTGTTCAGCCTCCTTGGACACTCAAATGGCCTTGAGGGAGTCCATGCTGCTATCCCTATTTATAGATGAGAAAACTGGGGCTCAAAGAAATCAAATAAACGTATTTGAATTAAAAAAAAAAATCTGGCCAGGCCCAGTGGCTCATGCCTGTAATCCCAGCACTTTGGAAGGCCAAGGTGGGCAGATGACAAGGTCAAGAGATCAAGACCATCCTGGCCAACACAGTGAAACCCTGTCTCTACTAAAATACAAAAATTAGCTGGGTGTGGTGGCGTGCGCCCGCAGCACCAGCTACTCGGGAGGCTGAGGCAAGAGAACTGCTTGAACCCAGGAGGTGGAGGTTGCAGGGAGCCAAGATCGTGGCACTGCACTCCAGCCTGGCACCTGGCGACAGAGCGAGACTCTGTCTCAAACACAAACAAACAAATAAATAAATAAATAAAATCTAAGGTTTATTTGGCACACTGCTGACGTTACAGTCAGAAGCCTTGCTTGGGAGCCAGGAGCACGTGGGCTCAGACTCCAGCGCCTCCTCTCACCAGCCATGGAACCCCAGAACTCTATTTCCTCATGTGGAAAAACAGGGACTGGCCTCAATGAGTATTGGAAGCAGTAACTGATAAAATACATGTGAAAATCTCTACAAGTCAGACCTTGCTGATTCCTGCTATTGACCACGCCCAGAAATAGAATTGCCTTTTGGAATATCTGTCTTTCCACTGCAGTCTGAATGGCTCTTACTGTTTTTCTGTCTCTAAAATAGCACCAGGTCCGCCTCAGTAGATGCTCTTCACACAAGCCTTTTTTTTTTGGATATGAAGTCTCACTCTGTCACCAGGCTGGAGTGCAATGGTGGGATCTCAGCTCACTGCAACCTCTGCTTCCCAGATGCAAGTGACTATTGTGCCTCAGCCTCCTGAGTAACTGGGATTACAGGCATGTGCCACCACGCCTGGCTAATTTTTGTATTTGTAGTAGAGAAGGTGTTTCATCATGTTGGTCAGGCTGGTCTGGAACTTCTGGCAGATTGTACCATTGCACTCCAGCCTGGGCGACAAAAGCAAGACTCAAGTGATCTGCCTGTCTCGGCCTCCACAAGTGCTGGGATTACAGGTGTAAGCCACCACGCCTGGCCACATGAGCTTTTTTTAAAAAAAAATCACATTGGGCCAGGTGTGGTGGCTCATGCCTATGATCTCAGCACTTTGGGAGGCCTGTGTAACTCGGATCATGAGGTCAAGAGATTGAGATCATCCTGGCCAACATGGTGAAACCCCATCTCTACTAAAAATACAAAAATTAGCTGGGTGTGATGGTGTGTGCCTGTAATCACAGCTACTAGGGAAGCTGAGGCAAGAGAATTGCTTGAACCCAGGAGGCGGAGGTTGCAGTGAGCCGGGATTACAGATCGTGCCCCTGCACTCTGGCCTGGCAACAGAGCAAGACTCCAACTCAAAAAAAAAATTAAGAATCACATTCATGCATGTCATCTCCTGTAACCCACTCAATATTCATGAGGAAATTTCAAGTGTCCCTATTTAAGAGATGTGGGAACTGAGGCTTGGAGGGGTTAAAGTGATTTGCTCACAGTCATGATGTCACTAAGAGGTGAGATACAGGCTCCCCATTTCAAATCCTATGCTATCAGCTACATTTAGGTTTATCTCAGATTGTTCAGAGTCTGGAGGGATGTCAGAGGCGATGCCGTTCAAACCCCTTCCGTTACAGATGAAGGAAACTGAGGCTGAGGAGAACAGTTCCTCCGGTAATAAGGAACCAGGGCCAGGACTCAGGTCCCACAACTGCAGCAGCTTCTCTTGCATGGCCTCTGGCACTCAGACCTCAAAATGACACTCCTTTAGGACACAGCATGGAGTGTGTGTGTGTGTGTGTGCCCACGCGCGTGAGCGCACACCTTCAGGAAAATTTCCTCCTCTTCCTGTCAGCAGGGATAACACTATGAGGCCATGTGACAAGGGTTGGGGTGACAGCCATGAAGCCATGACATGAGAGCTGGCTTTTGAGCTGGCCTCACCACTGACGGCCCAATAAGCCTCTACTGCTCGCTGGGCCTCAGCATCTTGATTGTAAAACTCAGGTAAAAACTTCACATCTAGCCAGGCGCAGTGGCTCATGCCTATAATCCCAGCACTTTGGAAGGCTGAGGCGGGTGGATCACCTGAGGTCAGGAGTTCAAGACCAGCTTGGCCAACGTGGTGAAACCCCGTCTCTACTAAAAATACAAAAATTAGCCGGGTATGGTGGCATGCGCCTGTACTCCCACCTCTCAGGAGGCTGAGGCAGGAGAATCTCTTGAACCTGGGAAGCGGAGGTTGCAGAGAGCCAAGATTATAGTCCAGCCTGGGTGACAGAGAGAGACTCCGTCTCAAAAGAAAAAAACAAATTCACACCCTTGTTTATGCTCTGGGATCTGCCACCTCCACCCAAGGTCTCAGAGGACAACCGAAGTGCAGGTGGTTCTAGCTTCGGAGGGCTATGCACATGCTGACAGCTGAGTGAGGAGGCACAGCAGGAGGAGGATGAACCAGAGGGTGGGGCATAGGTCTGGGATGGAAGATAGGCACTGGGGAGGTGCCCTGAGGGACAGATGGCTGGCACAAGGAGAAGCTCTGGTCTGGTCCCTGATGAGGCCTGACAGACACAGAGCAATCACTAGAGAAGAGTTGGGAGGCTGGGATCTGGTCCCAGCTCTGCCATCAACTTGCTGTGTGACCCTAGGGAAGTCACTTGCCCTCTCTGGGCCTCTGTTCATTCACATGTAAAAAGAGGGTCGAGTTATATGGGGACAGCAAACTTCTATAAAGAGCTGGAGCCTGTAAATACCAGCACTCTGGGAGGCTGAGGCACGTGGATCACCTGAGATCAGAAGTTTGAGACCAGGCTGGCCAACATGGCGAAATCCTGTCTCTACTAAAAATACGAAATAAAAAAAGAATTGGCCAGGCATGGTGGCTCACGCCTATAATCCCGGCACTTTGGGAGGCTGAGGTGGGCAGATCATGAAGTCAAGAGATGGAGATCATCCTGGCCAACATGGTGGAACCCCATCTCTACTAAAAATACAAAAATTAGCTGGGTGCGATGGCATGCGTCTGTCCCAGCCACTCAGGAGGCTGAGACAGGAGAATCACTTGAACCCAGGAGGCAGAAGTTGCAATTGAGAGATCACACTACTGCACTCCAGCCTGGCGACAGAGCGAGACTTCATCTCAAAAAAAAAATTAGCTGGGCATGGTAGTGGGCACCTGTAATCCCAGCTCCTTGGGAGGCTGAGGCAGGAGAATTGCTTGAACTCAGGAGGCAGAGGTTGTAGTAAGCCAAGATCACTGCCATTGCACTCCAGCCTCAATAACGAACTGAGTAAGACTCTGTCTCAAAAAAAAAAAGAGCTGGAGAGTATTTTAGGCTTTGCGGGACACTTGTGGTCTCTGTCACACAGTTGCCTTCTTTTACTTTCTCCTACAACTCTTTAAAAATGTAAAATCATTCTTAGCTCATAGGTCATTAAAAGCAGGTCAGATCTGACCTGCAGGCAACAGTTTATTAACCTCTGAGTTAGAGAAATGGATACAACCGGTGTACTGCAGAACCCCTCCAGCAAGCCTCTTCCAATCAGCCCAGCTCCAGCTGTACCTTTGTCTAACCACTAGAGTTTTACTTAAAAGAATTCTGTTGCTAAGAAGACAAAAAGTGGAACACTGGCCTACACAGTCTTGAGGAATCCTATCAGTCTAACCGGATGCGTGATCCCAAGGAAAGGCAAAAACTGTTCTGGAGGAGGGGACTTTACAGGCTTCCATTTGTACTCCTTCCGGACTCCCACCCTCTTTGAGAAGCTCTCACGAATTCTGCTCCCCGGCAACTTCCCTTTACTACCTTCCATCAGGAGTAGCCAGTTTTTAGCCTACTGTCGACCTCCCAGCCAGAAGCCCCTTCTTTGATTTGTTCTATGCCTTGTGGAGAGAACACTGGGCTGGGAGTGCATAGACCAAGGTTCAAGACACAGCTCTGTTGCCTCCCAGCTGGGAGACCTTGGGTAAGCCACGCACCTCTATGCCTTATTTTTTTTTAAAGGGCAAGTTTTATTTTATTATTTTATTTTATTTTTATTAGACATGGGAGTCTCATTATGTTGTCTAGGCTAGTCTTGAACTCCTGGGCTCAAGTGATCCTCCCACCTCAGCTTCCCAGAGTGCTGGGATTATAGGTGGGAACCACTGTGCCCGGCTTATTTTTTTTAATTTTATTCTTATTTTTATTTTTGAGACAGGGTCTCCCTCTCAAAAATAGCATGCAGTCACATGCTCATAGCTCACTACAGCCTTAACCTCCATGGCTCAAGTGATCCTCCCACCTCAGCTCCCCAAGTAGCTGGACTACAGGCACATACCACCACACCTGGCTAATTTAAGTTGTTTTTTTTTTTAATAGAGACAGAGTCTTCCCTGTGTTGCCCAGGCTGCTCTTGAACTCCTGGCCTCAAATGATTCTCCTGCCCCGGCCTCCCAAAGTGCTGGGATTATAGGTGTGAGCTACCACACCTGACCATATTAACTTATTAATTCTCCCAACAACCTAAGAGTTAGACAGTATTAATTACTATGCCCAATTCACAGATGAGAAAAATTGAGGCCAAGAGAGGTTAAGTGACTTGTCCAAGGTCCCATAGCTGGTAAGCGGATGGGCTGGGATTCAAATCCAGGCCTTCCTAGTGAGGCTTTATAAAGCATTAAATACAATGCACACATGTAGGGGAGAATGACTGCATCCTCAGCTGCTGGATAAAACAGGAGGTTTTCAACAAACACTGATGTAGAAGAGAAAACTAAGGCTGGTTGCTCTCCCCACTTCCTGTCCCTCTGGACAAGAGTCCTACCTGAGGATGCTGTGGGCTCCATGATGCTAGGGTCGGTGCTGCTGCTGGGCTGGGCAGAGTCAGGGCTAGGGCTGAGGGTAGAGGTAGAAGGGAGGGGCTCCTCGGAAGGACTGTCGGGCTCCTGCACCTCCTCTGGGCACAGGTAGACTTCGATGGGCCCTTGGGTGCTCTTGAGATATATCTGCAGGTTGTCCTGGAGGAAAAAGAGAAGCAAGGTCATGGCTCTGGGTGCATCAGTGTGTATGGACAGACACACACGGCTGCTGCTGCCCATGGGAGCAAGCTCAACCCCTGGGCTGGCACTGAGACCAGGTCCATCTGGCCTAGGGTGGACTTTGCTGTTTCTGCTGTCTGGCCCCAAAGCCCACTTCTTTTAGGGGGAACACCTTGGTTTTCCTGTGGGAAATCACTCTTCTCCCACTCTCAGGTCATGCAGTTTTGGGGCAGGGAGGCAGCACCCTTCCCCAATCCCAGTGGGTGAGCTTGTGACACAGCCAGGAAATTTAGTGTGACATGATCAGTTCAGGGTGGCACATGGCTCGGCTCCTTAGGTGGATCTAACCAGCACTAGGCCCAAGACTTTTGCTGGACTTGTGGGAAATGGAAGTCCCCTTCCCACTGGGGTTGCTGAGCTGGTATCCCAGCACTTTGGAGGCCGAGGCAGGTGGATCACTTGAGGTCAGGAGTTCAAGACCAGCCTGGCCAATGTGGTGAAACCCTATCTCCACTAAATGCAAAAAGTAGCTGGGCGTGAAGGTTGGGTACAGTGGCTTGCTCCTGTAATCCTAGCACTTCAGGAGGCCAAGGCGGGTGGATCACCTGAAGTAACAAGTTCAAGACCAGCCTGACCAACATGGTGAAACCCCATCTCTATTAAAAATACAAAAATTAGCTAGGCGTGGTAGCAGGTGTCTGTAATCCCAGTTACTGGAGAGGCTGAGTCAGGAGAGTTGCTTGAACCTAGGAGGCGGAGGTTGCAGTGAGCCAAGATCATGCCATTGCACTCTGGGCAACAGAGCGAGACTGCATCTCAAGGAGGCTATCTCTGCCATCACAAGGAAAGAGCCCACCTGGGAATGGAGTCAGCACAGAGAAAAGCAGAGAGATGAAAAGCATGAAACAGACCTGAAGTCATAGTTTGAGCATATACATCCAGCCTTGCCTGCCATCTCTGAATCTCCCCCAGAACTTGTCATTTGGTTCCCACCACCCCTACCCACACCTACGGCTTAAGCCAGTTGGACTTGACTTTCTGTTACTTGTAACCAAGAGTCCTGATATTTAGCCTTCTCACCCTGCCTCTTCCCTACCACATAACCACAACTTAAGCCACAACTGATGACATGCATGGCATCCTGGCACACGTCCAGGTCTCCATGCCTGTGCTCACATAGAACTGCACCTACCAAAAACCCCATTCCCTGAACTTCTCCAGGGAGGCCAGGCGCGGTGGCTCACGCCTGTAATCCCAGCACTTTGGGAGGCCGAAGTGGGTAGATCGTGAGGTCAGGAATTCGAGACCAGACTGACCAACACAGTGAAACCCTGGCTCAACTAAAAATACGAAAATGTGCTGGGCCTGATGGTGTGGACCTGTAATCCCAGCTACTCAGGAGGCTGAGGCAGGAAAATCACTTAAGCCTGGGAGGCAGAGGTTGCAGTGAGCTGAGATCATGCCATTGTACTCCAGCCTGGGCAATGGAGTGAGACTCCGTCTCAAAAACAAACAAAATCCTATTCATTCTTTTTTTTTTTTTTTTTTCAGACAGTCTTGCTCTGTCACCAGACACCAGGCTGGAGTGCAGTGGCATCATCTCGGCTCACTGCAACCTCCGCCTGCCGGGTTCGAGCAATTCTCCTGCCTCAGCCTCCCGAGTAGCTGGGACTACAGGCATGCACCACCACAGCCAGCTAATTTCTGTATTTTTAGTAGCAACAGGGTTTCACCATGTTGGCCAGGATGGTCTCGATCTCTTGACCTCATGATCTGCCCACCTCGGCTTCCAAAGTGCTGGGATTACAGGCGTGAGCCAATACACCCGGCCCAAAACCCTATTCATTCTTTAAGATCTAGTTTAACTGTCTCCACCCAGGATGTCTCCTCTACCCTTTCTCTATGCTCTCAAAGCAACATCTTCAGTCTATAAATGACCACGTCTTTTTCCCACTAAGGCCTGAACTTCTCCAGGGGAGGAGAGGGAACTTAATCATCTCCACAGCTCCAGTTCTTCCTTTAAACAAATTATTTCTTGAGCCCTTATCATATGCCAGGCTCTGGGCAGGGAATACAAGGTGAGCAGAACTTTCCCTTGTGAAGCTTACACTCTAATAGATGAAGCAGAATGCAATCATGTTATCATGCCAAATATACCTCAGCAAATGGAGACTAAAGGCAGTGTAAAAGCACAGGCGGTTATAAAGTCTGCGTAATCAGAGAAGGCTTCCTTGAGAAAGTGACATTTGAATTGAGATCTGTAGGATGAATAGCAATAAACCAGGCATAAAGAGAAGAGCATTTCAGTTGAGGAAACAGCATGTATGAAGGTCTTGCAAGACTAGGTGCAGTGGTTCACACCTATAATTCCAGCACTGTGGGAGGCCAAGATGGGCAAATCACTTCTGTACCAGAGTTTGAGACCAGCCGGGACAACATGGCAAAACCTCATCTCTACAAAAAATACAAAAAATTAGCTAGGCATAGTGGCACACACCTGTGGTCCCAGCTAATCAGGAGGTTGAGGTGGGAGGACGGCCTGAGGCCGGGAGGCAGAGGTTGCAGTGAGCTGAGATCATGCCACTGCACTCCAGTCTGGGAAACAGAGCAAGACCCTGTCCTCAAAAAAAAAAAAAAAAAAAGGCCGGGTGCGGTGGCTCATGCCTGCAATCCCAACACTCTGGGAGGGCAAGGTGAGCAGATCATGAGATCAGGAGTTCAAAACCAACCTGACCAACATGGTGAAACCTGTCTCTACTTAAAATTCAAAAATTAGCCAGGTGTGGTGGTACACACCTGTAATCCCAGCTCTCAGGAGGCTGAGGCAGGAGAATCGCTTGAACCTGGGGGGCGGAGGTTGCAGTGAGCTGAGATCACGCCATTGCACTCCAGTCTGGGCAAAAGAATGAGACTCCATCTCAAAAAATAAATAAAATGTAACAGATCTCACACTAGGAATGAGCTTAGTGCAATGGGGAAACTGCAGACAGATCAGTGTGGCCAAAACAAAGATAGATGGGACAGCAGGGAGAAGGAGGTTGGCAAGGTCAGCTGGGGTCAGAGCACTGAGGCCTTATAGGGAGTGTCAGGAATTTTGGTCTTCAACCTGGGAAAGCATGGTCAGCACGAAAGGATTTTCATGAGTACTGACATCGTCATGTGTAGGCATGAGTGTGCATGTACACAGGAACTCAGGGCTGGTGGGATGCAGTAAGAAGCTAGGAACAGAGATTTTCTCAGGCCACTATTCAGTCTCCGTTGCCCTTTCCAGCTTCTGCCATTTCTGCCTAAGCTTGAAGGCCACCAATATTGCCATGGACACCAAAATGGGCCTGGGGAGCATGGGGCTAGGCAGTGCCAGGGACAGAGTCTGCAGAGCTGCCTGGAACCTGCCCTGGCAGCCGTCCCCCCGCCGCCCCGGGCTCTCCACCAGATGCCTTCCCTCTCACCTCAGTCCTGTCAGGCACTTCCAGTCTCGTCTGCGGAGGGGCCTTGACGGCAATCACTGTCTGCTCCTTAAAGTTGCTGACAGCACGGATATCCTGGTAAGTCACATAGGCCAGCGTAGGGCAGGAGGGTCAAGAAAAGTGACTGTCCGGTCAAAATTCAAACCCCAAGCCTGCCAGGAAACACCTTCATCCACTTCTCCTAAGCCTCTGAACATTACTTTCTCACTCCTTGTACAGCCTAGAAATAACTACAATCTGTATCCTGTCAATATTATAAGCTACCTTGGATCCCTTTAGAAAGAAAATGGGGATATAAATTATAAAAAAAGTTGCCTTATATCAGCTTTTTATGTAAAGGCTTCATCTCTCAAACTAGATCATTAGCTCTGAGAAGGGAGGAAGACATGTTTTGTTTCTTTATATTTCCCACAATGCCTAGCATCCTTCCAAAAATACAAGGTCAGTCCAAAACCAATTAGAAATGAAATGATTTTGGAAAATCTATGAAAGACCCTGAGGTCCTTGCTCTTTGACCTCATCATTTCAATTCTAGGAATCTGACCTAAGAAAACAAGTAAAATATGGGAAAACATTCTATAAATATTCTGCCGAGTGCAGTGCCTCATGCCTGTAATCCCAGCACTTTGGGAGGCTAGGCAGGTGGATCACTTGAGGTCAGGAGTTCAAGACCAGCCTGGTCAACGTAGTGAAACCCCATCTCCACTAAAACTACAAAAAGTACCTGGGCATGAAGGCCAAGTATAGTGGCTCATTTCTGTAATCCCAGAACTTCAGGAGGCTGAGGCAGGTGGATTACCTGAGGATGTGAGTTTAAGACCAGCCTGACCAACATAGTGAAACCCCATCTCTACTTAAAATACAAAAATTAGCCAAGCTTGGTGGCAGGCACCTGTAATCCCAGCTACTTGGGAGGCTGAGGCAGGAGAATCACTTGAACCCAGGAGGTAGAAGATGTAGTGAGCCAAGATTATGCAACTGCATTCCATCCTGGGCAACAGAGTACAATTCCATCTCAAAAAAAAGGCCAGACGCCGTGGCTCATGCCTGTAATCCCAGCACTTTGGGAGGCCAAGGTGAGCAGATCACCTAAGGTTGGGAGTTCAGGCCCAGCCTGACCAACATGGAGAAATCCGTCTCTACTAAAAATACAAAATTAGCTAGGCATGGTGGCGAATGCCTGTAATCTCAGCTACTTGGGAGGCTGAAGCAGGAGAATTGCTTGAACCAGGGATGTGGAGGTTGCAGCCAGCCAAGATCACTCCATGGCACTCCAGCCTGGACAGCAAGAGCTAAATTCCATCTCAAAAAAAAAAAAAAAAAAAACTACACACAACTACATTACAACTATATTTAAATAACACACATTCTGTGTGCAGTTAAGGAACAAAGGCTATGTTAAGGTGACAGCTCATCATTTCTTTTCTTCATTTTCGAGATTTAAAAAAATATACTTGGCTTATTTCAATAATGAAAACATACCTTTAATAAACTTGAGGCCAGGCACAGTGACTCATGCCTGTAATCTCAGCACTTTGGGAACTGAGGTGGGAGGACTGATTGAAGCCAGGAGTTAGAGAACAGCCTGGGCAACAAAATAAGACCCTGTCTATACAAAAAATTAAAACTTAGCCAGGCATGGTGGCACACACCTGCATTTCTAGCTATTTGGGAGGCTGTGGTGGGAGGATCACTTGAACCCAGAAGTATGAGGCTGTAGTGAGCTATGATCATGCCATTGTACTACAGCCTGGATAACAGAGTGATCCCTTGCCTCTAAAAAAATAAATAAATAATTTAAAAAATAGACTTGAGAGGAAAAGCCACGCAGGAAGGAAGAAATAGGTGCCAGACCCTTAGGGTGAGTTAATCCCTATATGCGAGTACTGAATCAACTCAGGATGGATATAAACATGCAACAGGTTCCTACTCCCTGACACCTTCCCCACAACCAAGGAGGATATCTCTTGTTGGCCTTGTCCTCAGTCAGGTGCTTGAAGCTCAGAGAGCAGCTCTGGATGAGCTGGTCCAGGGCCTGCTCCCTGTTCATCAGCTCCTTCAGCTCCTGCCCCAGCTGTTGCTGCTTCCCAGGCCGGGTGGGGTCTTCAAACATTCCCCTGCCTCTGCAAACAGAGCAGCGCCCCCGTGTCAGTCTCAGTCCACATCCAGAGACCCCAACCCCCGGGCTGCTGTGCAGAGATGCATGGGTGGTGTGGGTAGAACTCCAGAACAAGGCCATTCAAATAGTCTATGAGGGTGCTCCCCTGGGCTGTACAAATCAGTGGTCATGCCTGACTCTCAGGGAGCTACCAGGGATTGGAACTAGGGGCTTGGGGTTGGGCTTGGGAGAAGAAACAAGTCAAGGCCTAAACCCCACTTTGGGCAGGGGGCTCTCAACTCTGTTCATTCCTATGCCCCAAATTGCTCCAAATGGTAGGGAACTGTAGTAGCCTCAGTCCTGACTCCCCCGCCTGGGTTTTCTTAGGGTTTATGCCAGGGGCTGTAGGTTAGCTCTTTAAACCCTGTAGAAGTAGAGAAAGGAGGCTGGAGTACTCCTAGCTCAGATCTGGAAGGAGTCTGGGATGCCCCTACTCAGCTCCCAGGGGACTGCCCTAAGCTAGAAGTGGATATTGGGATCTCTGACTCAAGAGGAAGAATCTGGAGTTCCCTTTGGCCTTCACGTTCTCCTATTACTTCAGCAGGTACACGGGCTCTTCCCCACCATACATTGGCTCTACCTCCAGTAATAAGCCTATTGGATGTTGCTCTTGGTTCACCTCAGCACTTGTGCCCATTGGATGTTGCTCTCAGCCCTACCCCTGCCACTCACACCCAATGGCTATTGCCCCTGGCTCTGCCCACAGCCCAAGTACCCATTGGAGGGTACCATTGGACGGGCACTCACACCCACTGGATGTTGTTCTTGGCCTTCTTGCGGATGAGCTGGATGCCCTCTAGCACATTGGTGATGTCATAGATGCGCCGCTTCTGCACGTCCAGCACCTCAGCGGCCCAGTTCAGGTCCAGGACCCCATCCTCGGACTCGCTCAGAAGGTAAATGAACTTCTTGGTGAGCAGCCCCAGCGAGGTGTCATATCGAGTCTTCTCCCCAGGGGATTTGGGGGCTGAGGAAGAAAGGGACCCAGTCACAGCTCAGGGAGTGCCATCTCAGGACTCTCGCCCATTGACCTAGGCTCATCAAGTCCCAACTTTCACCACCCACTTTCCAGTTTACAAAGCACTGTGAGGCAGGGCACCCATCACCACCACTGTCCAGACAGAGAACCTAATACCTAAGAGAGAAGGTGACTTGCTTAAGGTCTCAAAGCCAATGGGTATGTTGGAAGCCAAGTGTCCTTACTCCTGGTTCAAGGCACGTTTCCACCACAGCTTAGAGACGCCATACCCCCACCCACAACTATTGTCACTGTTCTAAGTGCTTTCCACATACTAACACATTTAAGCCTTACAACACCATATAAGGTTGCTGTACAATCATCCCATTTTACTGATGAGAATACTGAGGCACAGTTTAAGTAATCTGCTCAGCTCACCCAGCTAGGAAGTGGCAAAGCTGGAATTAGAATCCAGACAATCTGGCTCCAGAGTTTTCCTTCTTAACCATTACCCTATCCTGCCACTTAAATGTCAGGAGTTTGGAATTAGAGTAGGACAGGAATGATAAGCCTGGATTTAAGAACATCTTTATAGACACACACTGGCTGTTCCTTCCATGTGAATCCCAGTGATTATCTGAGAATCGGTCCCGTAACATCAAGTGGGGAGGTTCATGAAAAGGTCCTTTCTCAATGAGGCTGATGTTGCAAGACCACATCTCAGCTGAAGCATCTTAAACCGAGGGGACTTTTGTAATCAAGTGACTTCCAAGTCATGTTGCAAGTTAGTGGCCAATCTAATAATTCTGGAACCTGAGTTTTGGAGAGTCTTAGGTTCCTCTGGAAGAGGACCAGTTATCATGAGTCTTAGGATCCTTCAAGACAGTGCTTTGGGCAGCCTTGACCAGTCAATGCAAAGGAAACTTTCTTGCCATTCCTGATCTAGCTGTACTTCCTTTTACACGAGACAACTAAGGTTTACAGGAATGACCTGTAAAACTAGTGTTCCTCCCAAACACAGTTGCTTACACTCCCACTCTAACCAGGAACTTTTTTTTTTTTTTTGGAGATGGAGTCTCACTCTTTCTCCCAGACTGGGGTGCAGTGGCATGATCTCAGCTCACGGCAATTTCTGCCTCCCAGGTTCAAGTGATTCTCCTGCCTCAGCCTCCCAAGTAGCCCAGCTAGTTTTTGTATCTTTAGTATAGACAGTGTTTTGGCATGTTGGCCAGACTGGTCTTGAACTCCTGACCTCAGGTGATCTGCCCACCTCGGCCTCCCAAAGTGGTGGGATTACAGGTGTGAGCCACTGTGCCTGGCCTATCCAGGATATTGACTGAAAATATCAAGAGGCAGCAAGCCCCTCCAACTTAGCTTTAGGAAGGCACCACCTGGGCAACCTCTGAATCTAAAAAACCTGAGGTGGCACAGACTGGATCAATCTGTACTGCCCTTCCCTTTGAATCACTTATTTAGCTCCTTGTCTGCAGGTGGGAGAAAGACCCGGTTAGCCCCTGCTCCTCTGAGCTGGATTCTCAGAAATGTTTACATTGACCTAAATATGAAAACTTTTTAAAAATAATAAATTCCCAAATAAAACACTGGTCATTGCATTTAGAACATGAGAGCAGTACATGGCGTGGTAGAAGTGGTACAAGACTGGCCGGTCGTGGTGGCTGATGCCTGTAATCCCAGCACTTTGGGAGACTGAGGTGGGTGGATCACTTGAGGTCAGGAGTTCAAGACCAGCCTGGTCAATATGGTGAAACCACATCTCTACTAAACATACAAAAATTAGCCAGGCATGGTGGCATGCCCCTGTAATCCCAGCTACGTGAGAGGCTGAGGTGGAAGAATTGCTTGAACCCCAGAGGTGGAAGTTGCAGGGAGCCAAGACGGCACTCCAGCCTGGGCGACAGAGTGAGACATGTCTAAAAACAAAAACAGGCTGGGTATGGTGGCTCACGCCTATAATCCAAGCACTTTGGAGGCCAAGGCGGGTGGATCACCTGAGGTCAGGAGTTCAAGACCAGCCTGACCAACATGGTGAAACCCCATCTATATAAAAAAATAATAATAATTAAAAACAAAACGAAACAAAAAAACACTGAAGTAGTGCAAGACTTACATGTCCAGGCTCAAGTCCTGACTCCATTTTGAAACTGTGGGCAAGTCACTCAAGCTCTCTGAGTCTCAGTTGCCTGATTAGTAAAGGGAGACAGGCCTACCTACCTGCCAGGATCAAGTGAGAAAATGCAAAGGAATCTTTTGTAAACTGGAAAGTGCTCCAAATATGACTCCCAGTGATTAGGCAGGGCGCTGCCCTCTGCCCCTGCCCCACCCCACCCTGAGGCTCCATCAGCACTGCTTACTTTTGGGGCTGGGGAGGCCATCCACTCTGATGCACTTCCCCTTGGGGGTTGGGAACTCAAGGACGGCGGGCCTCCCAATCCCCTCCAGATTCAGCTTCCTTTTGGCCTGGGAGAGAGGTGGGAGAGAGACAGAGTTTGAGAATCATACCTCCTTTAGCCTTTCCTGATGTGGGGCCAAAGTGATAAGGCCACTAGCAGCCACCTCTGTGCCTCAGTTTACTGCCAGTCCTGGTGAAGCACTGCTGTCCTTGATAGGAAAATATCAATGACCTGAGAAGTGAGCTTTCAGGGGAGGTCTTGTTTTCTGAAGGGCCAATAAAACTCTCATCCTCTGAGGCCCAGGCACTTGAGACCCTACCAAAACCAGTCTGGCCAAAGGCTCAGAGTTCCTTAACCACAGGCCCCAAGTCTGCCCCTACACCCGCTCCTCACCCAACCACACCCAGAGGATGATACCAGGAGGAAGCAGTGGGTGGGGCCTAAACCACATCAGGGTGGGGAAAGGCCCCCCATACAGAAGCAGATGGCCCAGCCAGACTGAGTGCCCATCACAGTCCCACAGCTGGTCCTTATCAGGGTGGGGCTGGGCATCCGCCCAGACCCAGGAGACTTCCTGGCTCAGTGCCACACCCCAGGGAGGTGCCCACAGTGGGAAGCAGTGCAAACATCCCCACCCCCAATGTTTGGGCTCCAGCTTGAGGGCCCCAGGGCCTCCTGAATAGACTGCATTTGCCATTCTTTCTTTGCCGAGAGGGGCAGACAATGAATCCTTCCCAAGTCTTAAGGACAAGCAGCTGAGGCCACCCCTTCCCCCCTCCCCAATCCCCCTCTCTGTTCCCGCCAAGCTTGGGAAACACCTGCTGGGGAAATCAAACCACAGACCCATCTGCTCCTCTCCACCCTGTCACCACCCGGGCCCCAATTAGGCCCAGAGCTGCACTGCCCCGGAAAGGGCCTCTCTCCCGGTTAGGGCTGGGCAGGGGCAGGGCAGGGGCAGGACTGGGGCATTGGGACAGTGGGACAGAGGTCAGAGACCCATGTTTGAAACTCCAGCTCCTTCATAGGCTCACTGTACAACTTGGGGGAAAGGTTCCACATCTAGGAGCCTCAGTTTCCTCCTCTGTAAACGTGATAGAAAAATGCCTGCCTCAAGGGGCTATTGTAAGGATTCAAGGAAGGCACCACCTGGACAGCCTCTGGATCTTAAAAACCTGGAACAGGCTGAATTAATCCCTGAGTCGCTTCCTTTGAATCACTTACTTAGCTCCCTGTCTAATGCATGCGGGAGAAACACCCTAGTTAGCCCCTGCTCCTTTAAATTCTGTAAAGTTCTCAGACTATGTCTCAGCACACAGTGGGTGTTTGGGAAACAGAGTCCCTTCCCTAAAATCTAATTTCGACCTCTTCCTTGACACATCCTTCTGGGGGTCATAAAGCCCATTTCTTTCCTCCTTCAAACCCTGGGTTCCCCAGACACCCCTACTCTGGCTTAGACAGACAGGCTTATTTTAACATTTGGTGGTGAGGTCATGCTCGGCAGGGCTGAGACTTCTAACTGCTGCTGAGCACAGCTGGGCTGACAGGTGTTAGGGGTGGTGACAGCTCTTCCTGCTGTCAGTTCCCCTTCCCCCACTCCTGTCCCCTCCAGGACGTTTTCCTGGGCTGATTTGAGGAGCCCTGCTCTTTGGTTTGAGGAGCCTAGATCTGACACTCCTTCTCTCCCCCACTACCCAGACCTAGACACCATCCAAACACCCTGCTCATTCCTCATGAAGTCTCTTGAATATTCCTTTTCTACTCTCCTCACTGGTGAAATCCTAAATTCTAGGGATTTAGCCCCACCCTGTCACTAGAGAAAGGCCCAGTCACTGCCTGAGACCTTCCGCATGCCCTGAGCCACGCCCGAACATCCATCACTTCACTGAATCTTCCCACACCACTAATCCCCATTGTTCAGCTGAAGTAACTGAGCCTTGGTGAGCTCAGAGGCCTCCATTAATCCTGACCAAGGCTGCACATCCTAGTATTCTTCATATATCCCTGGGCAGGAGCACCAAGGGCAAGGAGAGGAAGGGAAGTTCAGGCCAAGTTCTATTTGAGGCAGAGGTGGGGCACCCTAGCCACACCTGCCTCCCCACTGGAACATACCAGGAAGAAACCTGAAAAGACCCTGAACAGAATATCTATGCTGGGCCTATTACATGCTCACAACAGTCCTGTGACATCAGTATTGGCACTCGCTCTCGGAGGACAAGAACTGGAGACTCACAGAGGGTAAGGGGCATGCCGAAGGTCATACAAAGGTCACGGCCAGGGTTTGAACCCAGGCCTGTCTGACTTCAAAGCCATGTACCAGGCTGTTGCAGCTCCAGCCCACACACATTGCTCCAGGATTTGCTAGAATTTGGTCCAAGGCCTGGGCATACACGTGCGTGTGCGCGCACACACACACACCCTTCTCTCTTTTCTCACTCTCCCTCACCCTTACTCTGCACTCCCAGAGTCCCAGCGCAGCAAAGTGTCCCCTAAGGATACCTCCCAGACACCTCTGGGTAGTGCTCAGAGGAAAGCCAGCCTATGGCTTGGGCTGAGCCTGCAGAACAGAGGTGGCAAAGGACAAGCCCAGGAGGATCAAGATGGAGGTGAGGCTGAGCACAGGTCTTGGAGTCTGACTGGCCTGGCTTTGCATCTAGGCTTTCCCCCTTCTTAGCTGGGAAATCAGTTGACCTCAAGTCACCCATATAATGGGCATTATGGTCTCCACCTATGCTGAGGATTCAGCTAGATAGCGCAGCAAAGCGCTTTGCCCATAGGGAGTGCTCCCACCAGGGAGGGGGGCACCAGTGGGAAAAGGGGAAAGTTCAAGGGTGAGCTGAAAAGAGACTGCAGTGGGGGAAGGAGAGCAAAGGCTGTAGCCACAGCCAGAGGTTGGCTTAGCTCTACCCTGGGCACTCTTAGGCATCCTCTTTGGCTGGATCTCAAAAGCCTGGTCAGGACTCAAGCCCACCCTGCCAACCCCTAGGGAGAAGAGTACAGCTCCTTCCTCAGGCATCTGCAGAAGTGCAGAGGATCAGAGATCCCCAGGCACAACCCCCTCACGGACAGCAAGGTGAGGAAACTGGGGCTTGGGGAAGAGGAAGTGCCTTGCCCAAGGTCACGCAGAGTGGAGCCTGGTCTCTCCTACACCCTAAGTAAGATGGTGGGGGTAGGAGCAAAATGTAAGGGGTTGAAACTCGCTTTCAGATCCCAGGTCTGCACTCGGTAGCTGGGCAACCTGGGATTGACTGTCTTGCCTCTCTGAGCCTGCGTCTCCTCATTTGACCTGCCTAGTAGACTTGTTTGTTAAAATGTGTATTTTCTTTTTTTGAAACGGAGTTTCACTCTTGTTACCCAGGCTGGAGTGCAATGGTGCGATCTCGGCTCACCGCAACCTCTGCCTCCTAAGTTCAGACAATTCTCCTGCCTCAGCCTCCTGAGTAGCTGGGATCACAGGCACGCGCCACCGTGCCCAGCTCATTTTTTGTATTTTTAGTAGAGACGGGGTTTCACCATGTTGACCAGGATGGTCTCGATCTCTTGACCTCGTGATCCACCCGCCTCGGCCTACCAAAGTGCTGGGATTATAGGCGTGAAACCACTGCGCCTGGCCCTAAAATGTGTATTTTCTTTCATGGCTCACAAGAGGAAATTTGGAAAATGTAGACAAAAGAAAAGGAGGGCTGGGTGCAGTGACTCACATATGTAATCCCAGCACTTTGGCCAAGGGGGCAGATCACCTGAGGTCAGGAGGTCGAAACCAGCCTGGCCGACATAGTAAAACCCTGACTCTACTAAAAATACAGAAATTAGCCAGGCATGGTGGCAGGCGCCTGTAATCCCAGCTATCTGGGAGGCTGAGGCAGGAGAATCACTTGAACCTGGGAGGCGGAGGTTGCAGTGAGCAGAGACGACACCATTGCACTCCATCCTGGGCAGAGCTTCCTGCAGGGATGAAAGAGGATGAATGCTATGTGCCTGCCAGAGGAGGCACAAAATAAAGGAGCATCCCCTGACCCTTTCTCAGAGGACTTGGAAAGAGTTCTGGACAGGGAGCCAGGAGATCTAGGTTCTGACTTTCATTCTGCCATTGAACTTGGTTGCCATCCTTGGACAGTGCCTGAGGTCCCTTTAAACAGAAGCTCCCCTACAAATCCTGCTCACCCTGCACTTTGCAGCCTGGCCACAAAGCAAGTGGCCACACCCAGGGTTAGATTTGGACCTCCTCCAGGTCACACCCTTGTAAAATGAGTAAGCAGAGGGCGGGCCTGCCCACAGGGCTGGGCCCCCGGCACCTGGGGATTGACAGGAGCGGGAGCTCTGGCTCTGGCAGCCTTTAGGGTGGTCTGCTGCAAGGAGACTCCCCTGCTTCTTTGCTTGTGACCCAGGCAAGTGACTTCCTTTCTTTGCTCAGTTTCCTCATCTGCAAGATGCCTCATTTTGGACATCTTGACCAAGATAATGAATGTGAAGAGTGCCAAGCAGTGTCTGGCACAGAAGTGGCCTCAGTAAGAGAGCCCTTCTTGCTAAGATCACTGAGGCCCTCTGGGAGGGACGTACGGACAGATGCACTTGCGCTCCTCTGAGAGGGTTCAAAGCAGTTCAAAACCACAGCTGTTACTGAAACTTCCAGTCTGAAAGCAGCTGGCCAGAGAAGAGTGGGCCTGCCAATGAGTTCCCTTCCCTGCAGGGAACGCAACTTCTAAGTCAGGTAGTATTGAAGAAAGTCAAGGCTACATAGAGAAGAGCCTGACCAAGTGCAGTATCTCATGCCTGTAATCCCAGCACTTTGGGAAGCCAAGGCAAGAGGATTGCTTGAGCCCAGGAGTTTGAGACCAGCCTGGGGAACATAGGGAAGCCCCTGTCTCTACAACAAAAAATTTAAAAAAAGAGAAGAGTCTACTGCCTTGTGAGTCCCATCACTCTAGCCCATCCCTATCTCTGACCTTAGGTCATATCCCCTCTCTGAGCCTCAGTTTCCCCCGTAACATGGAGCTACTAATGCCATCTATTTCACAAACTACAAAAATGTTTTAGGCTATAAAACACTGGGCCAGGCGTGGTAATCCCAGCACTTTGGGAGGCCAAGGCGAGTGGATCACAAGGTCAAGAGTTCAAGACCAGCCTGGCCAATATGGTGAAACCCCGTCTCTACTAAAAATACAAAAATTAGCTGGGTGTGGTGGCGCGTGCCTGTAATTCCAGCTACTTGGGAGGCTGAGGTAGGAGAATTGCTTGAACTGGGACCCAAGAGGTGGAAGGTGCAGTGAGCCAAGATCGTGCCACTGTACTCCAGCCTGGGCTACAGAGCAAGACTCTGTGTCAAAAAAAGAAAAGGCTGGGCATGGTGGCTCATGCCTGTAATCCTAGCACTTTGGGAGGCCAAGGTGGGTGGATCACCTGAGGTCAAGAGTTCAAGACCAGCCTGGCCATCATGGTGAAACCCCATCTTTATAAAAATATATATATATATTTTAAAAAAAAAACACCGAACACAAAATGCCCAGTCTGAGTTATCCTTGGTTGCTTAACCTGTAAAATGGGGATCATACTATTCCTGCCCACTGCCCTTCTAGTTAGAAATAATGTACAGTAAGGGTTTCCCAGTTAGAAATAATGTCCAGTAAGTTTAAAGTTTTGAACATGGGCAAAGCCTGAGTCCACTGGCAGGGAGTGGTGGCTCTGCCTGCATCCAGAGCTGGCTGGGCATCCGTGCCTGCTGACTAGCATAGGTCTGACCAGATGCCTCTGGGGCAGTGGGGGGTGGTCTTATCCCTGTACCTGAACTTACTCAAAACTAAGCAAACCTACAACATCCCCTTCTCTTCCCTGGAGCCTGCTTCCAAAACCCAAGACCTGGAGCTGAAAGTAGCTGAGAAAAACTACCCCATAGCCACCCTGTGCACACATGCATTGTCAAGGAGAGCAAACTGAAGCCCAGACTGGGGCCAAGAGTTGTCCAAGGACACACAGAGAATTAGTGGCAAAGTCAGACCAGAAACCAGGCTCCTCAACCACCACCACTGGACTCCCCTGGGTTTTTCCCATTCCACCCCCAACCCTAAAGTTGTTTTGATTCAGACAGACTCCAGGAATTCCACTCCCACAAAACACACCCTGAGCCCAGGTCGGCAGGCAGCCTAGTGCCACTACACTTTGGGCCCTCTCTGGCAACGAGCCTGGGGGCTTGAGGAGAGAGCAGCCAATCTGAACAGAACCCAAGGGGCTGCCCGCATTTGTATCTCTACAGGCTGTCTGGGAGGAAAGACTGGGCCTCGGGGAGGACCTAGGGCAGGTACTTGGGACTATACCAGGAGTTGACTGGACAACTTGGAGTCCAGTCATGGCAGATTGGACCTGAGAGACCCACTAGGCCTATCCCTCTGTCTTAAAGTCCTACAGTGTCCCCAGGCCATGCCCTTTGCCTAGACAATAGCAGGCACCCAGTACTGGTTTCTGGGCCAAACAATGAAGTAATGAATGAATGGCGGCGGCAACGTTGGCTGCATGGACTTCCCCACGATCACACTGTACTGGGAGTAGTGGGTTGGGTCTCCCTCCAGACTTGCAATCCAGTGCTCATTCCACTCCACTAGAATAGTTGAGATTACTTCATCCAAAGTCTGAAAATGAAAAGGGTCTTTTACTCAGATAGTGGGGGCACTGGGTCCTGGGAACTGAAACCTCATCTTCCCTCTCCCCAAAACTCTACCTGCTACACTCAAACTAGATCTCAGGCGCCCCTCCCTCCTTTCCCACACCTGGAAAAGCATAGAGGGAAGGGGTGGGGACCCCCAGCATTACCGGCAGCCGGCCTGCCGGCAGGCATCGCACAACTTGGCCCTCGGGTCCATGGGGAGTGGCGTCGAGGCAGATGCCGGGCGCCGCAGCGGGAGGCGCCGTCTGCGGGTACAACGGCGTGTAGTAGGTGGTAGTAGCTGGGCAGAGCTGGGGGCTGCTGAGGCCGGGCGGCCACAGCTCCGTGGGGCTCATCGCGGGCACCACCTTCGGGTGCTGCCCAGTGGCCGAAGCCAAGATCCGGGGCCCTCGCAGCATAGCGAGTAAGGCGCCCCCTACCCAAATGGGCCTGGCGCGCCCGCGGACACCTGCGGGATCCGGTGCTGCCGCCGCTCACACAGCCCGCGGCATGGCGCGGAGGCCGGGGAAAACCGCCAATGGACGCCTGAGGAGCAAGGCCAGACCCTCCCCTCCTGGCCCGCGGCCCAGCCGAGCAACGCTTGGAGATCGCCGCTTGGAGATTGCCCAGCGGCTGCGGTGGTGGCACTGCCAGGGGCGGGCACTGCGACCCGGGACGCCCCTCGCCCCCCAAGGCCACGGCACCTGGGGTCCTGCCGGTTCTGGGGAGGGGTCCCGGCGTGGCCGCAAGCTCGGCGGAGACGCGATGCGCTGGGACGGGGAAGGGGATCTTGACTGCACCGACTTCCTCGCGGCTTGCTCTCTAGTCCCTAAGTCTTTCTCTGCCTCTTTTTTTTCTTCTTTTTTTTTTTTAGCGCCAAACTGCGTGCCGCGAAATTCAGATCTCCCGCGGAAAATGCCGCGCTCCGGTTGGCTGCTGCAATAGTACAGGCTCCACCCCCCGGAAAGAACCCTTCCTGGAGGCGGCGATTGCAACACGAGCTTCGCTGCTTAAAGGGGCAGCCACACCTGCTGTCGGTGCAACCCGCCGCCAGCTAGCGCTAGCTAGCAGCTGGCGAGACGGAGACGGAGGGTGGTTCCAGGATGCACAGTGCAGAGGCGGCCAGAGCAGTGCACAGCGCGCTGAGAAATGGGCCCGGGTTCCCTGGGGTTGAAGGAAGATATTTTGGCGCGGGGTCCGGACCCGAGCCCAGACCCAGCAGTGTAGTCCCCAGGCTACAGACCCTTTTGTTAGTTTGCATAGTTGCTTAGCTAGCACATGTGCATTCATATCCCCTTTCCTGCTAAAATGAAGGCCAGGAACCTGTTCCCTTTAATGGCAGAGGGGTGAGGAACGGAGTCAAACTAGCCTACTTATTTTTAGGGAAAACTAACATCTATTCAGCACCTACAATATGCCAAGCACCATGCTAGATCGTTACAAGGGTTGTTTAATTTATTCCAACAATCCTGGGAAGAGGAATGATGATCCCCATGATAAAGACTGACAGTCTGAAAAGCTGTGTAACTTGCCCACAGTCATACAGAGAGATTCCCTGATTTGAGAGCTGGCAATGCAATCTGGAACAGGTCCCAGCTCTGGAGCCCTTGTTTTTCCAGTTAAGGGGTTCTTCGCCTACTCTCCCAAGCTGCCTGCCGGCCCAGCAGGGTCAGAGGCCCAGTGCAGGGCTTTGTCTTGTTCACAGTTGTATTCAAAGGACCCAACACTCAGTAAATGTCTGAACATCTCCAGGTATCTTAAACAATCCTTTTGTCACATGAACCTCCCTGCCTCATTCAAAAACCTTCATTCCTCATCACTCCAGTTTAGAGAGACTCAGAGAAGCAACCTTGGGTAGTAAGTGATAAAGCTGCTGCTAGATTTCATGTCTGATTCTTGCCTGGTGCTGTGTGATTTTTTATGCAAGTCTGAGCCTTGGCATTCAAAGCCCTCCAGAGACAGTCCACAGCTTAATTCCTCATTAGATGGTTGAGGACAAGGTGGCAATAACCCATGATGATTAAGAGCCCAGACTTTGTAGCCAACAGCTCTGAGTTCAAACCCAAGCCCAGACACTTTGTTAGTTTTGTGACCCAGGCAAATTTTGTAAATTCTCTGATCCTTGATCCTTGATTTTCTCATCCAGTAGCACTTACCTCCTAGGATAATGAGGAAATCTCGTAAGACAATGCATATAAAGCTTTCAGCACAGAACCTTGTTCATAAGGAGCCTCAAGAATTGGCAGTTATTGTTGTATCTCCCACTTTTTTTTTCTGAGACAGAATCTCGCTCTGTCACCAGGTTGGAGTGTGGCAGTGCGTTTCTCCTGCCTCAGCCTCCCAAGCAGTTGGGATTACAAGCGCCAGCCACCTTGTCCAGCTAATTTTTGTATTTTCAATAGAGATGGGGTTTCACCACGTTGGCCAGGCCAGTCTCTAACTCCTGACCTCAGGTGATCCGCCCACCTTGGCCTCCCAAAGTGCTGGGATTACAGGCGTGAGCTACCACGCCTGGCCACATCTCTGACCTTATCTCCAGTGCATAAGACCCTTTTACTCTAGTCTGCTTATCTCATTGGTCCTTTGAGGCCCAACTTAAACCTCACCTCCTCTGGGAAGCCTCCCCTGCCCACTTCCTCTGAGCTAGAATGCCTCTTGCCTTCTTGGGACCTTTAGTGTATTCTACCTCAACAAAACCAGGCGTTGTTTTCATACCTTGTTTATCAGTTCGGTTTTGTGCTCCTTCAAGAATCTAGGTCAAATCTCTCTAGAATGCCCCTCAGCATCTAGGGCCTGGCTTGGAGTGCAGAAGGCGGGTAAGAAATACTGATTATGATTCATTCATCTCCCTTGCTGCAAATAATAGGAGAAGTTAATGAGATCTGAAGTCAGAAAGTCAAGAGGCCCAGATTAAGTCCCACTGTCTACTTCCTAGCTGAGTGACACCAGACAGCTGCTTCTTCACGTCTCTTAACCACAATTTCCTCAACCATCAAATGTAGATAATGCTATCACTCAGCCAATTTCACAAGACTTCAGAGACACTATTAAAATTACAGTGGTGGTGATGATCACCAATTTTTATTGCGAACCTTCTATATGCTGGGCTCTATGCACCTTGAGCCCCTCCTCTGATCCGCACAACACTGCTCTGAGGCAGACACTATTATCCCCATTTTACAGATGAGGGAACCTGGAAGGAATTGTGGCAGAGCAGGTTTGGGGAAAAAGCAGAGCCCCAGGGCCAGGGAGGGAAATGGGGGTGGCAGGGTGGAGCTGGGAGAAAAGAAGGGAGCCAGTGAGGGGCTGAGAGCCAGCTCTCTGTGGTTGAGTTTCGGGCAGCTGGGGCTGGCTTTAGAGTTTCACCTCCTGGGAACTGACTAATTCTTGCAAGAGGTGTGGGGCACAGATCTGAAATCTGCCTCCCTGAGCTTGAATTCCTGCCCCCATTCATTCCTAGCACTGTGATCCTGGTCAGGTCGCTGGACCATTCTGAGCCTCAATTTCCTTATCATAGAAATGGGGGTGGCACAAGTGACTTCTCCATTTACTGTGAGGACTTAGTAAGGTGTTGGTTATAAAGTCCTTAGAGAAGTGTCAGGTGCATGGTAGGTACTTAATATATTTTAGCTAAAGTTTATGTGAAATGGACCAGAAGAGGCCCTCACATGGAACCGAACTAAATACTTGCAGTTTCAGGCTGTGCACAGTGGTTCAAGCCTATAATCCCAGAACATTGGGAGGCCAAGGTGGACAGATCACTTGAGCCCAGGAGTTCAAGACCAAGCCGAGCAACATGCCGAAATTCTCGCTCCCAAAAATATAGAAAAATTAGCTGGGCATGGTGACACATGTCTTAATCCCAGCTACTCGGGAAGCTGAGGTGGGAGAATCACCTGAGCCCAGGGAGGTCAAGGTTACAAGTGAACCATGATCATGTCACTGCACTCCAGCCTGGGCGACAGAGTAAGACTGTCTCAAAACAAACAAGCGGTGGCTCATGCCTGTAGTTCCGGCACTTTGGGAGGAGGAGGTGGGTGGATCACTTGAGGCCAAGAGTCCGAGATCAGCCTGGTTAACATGGCAAAAACCTGTCTCTACTAAAAACACACAAAACAATTAGCCAGGAGTGGTGGTATGTACTTGTAATCCCAGGTACTTGGGAGACTGAGGCAGGAGAATCGCTTGAACCCAGGTGGTGGAGGTTGCAATGAGCCAAGATCCTGCCACTGTACTACAGCCTGGGCCACAAAGCAAGATTCTGTCTTAAATAAATAATTTTTTTAAAAAATCAAAAAACAAAAAAAAAAACCTCAGAGTTTCTGCCATACATGCCCTACACTTTCCCATCTCCCAGGTTTTGCTTACCTGGCTCCATATCCTCCTATTCTCCAGGCCCCTCCTCCCCTCCATCCCCTTGTGCCCAAATCTGACCCATCCTTCAAGGTCCAACTCAAATGGAGTGGCAGAAGCAAAGAATCTAAAGTCAGACATCCCTGGGTGAAAACCTAGGCCCTGACACTTTATTAGTTGTGTGACCCAGCCAAATTTCATAAATTCTCTGATCTTTGATCCTTGATTTTCTAATCCTCCTAGCACTTACCTCATAGGATTGTGAGGAAATCTCATGAGATAATACATATAAAGCTTTCAGCACACCTGGTTCATAAGGAGCCTCAAGAATTGGCAGTTGCTGTTACATCTCTTACCCTATCTCCAGTGCATACCCTTTTACTCTAGTCTACCTAGCAACAGAGCTTCAAACTCCTTGGGGGCAGGACCCAGGCTTTGCTTTCACTTTTGTGCCTTCCTCCCCTGAGAGCGCCAGGCACATAGTGTAGGCCTGAAATAAATGATGATAATAGCACCCATTTCCCGAGGACTTCCTAGGCATAAACACTCAGCTAGGTATTTTAATACATTTTTGTTGAAACTTCCCAACTACCCTGTAACAGGTACATTTTAGACAGATGAAGAAATTGAGGCTGAAACATGTAAAGGAACTTGACAACTGTTTAAAGATGAAATCAGGATCTGAACTCAGATCTCTGTCTCCAAAGGCACTGTGCTGTTGCAAACAATGAACTCAGCCCCAAAACCCCATGTGAAGGAGGGTACAATCTGCTAAGTAGACAGAGGTTCCAGTGCTGCAGACATTGTTGGAAGTAGAAAGAGTGTGCCCCACAACTGGATGAGTTAGGGATGCTTAGTACTATTTTCCAGATAAGGAAGCCATGATTTGCAGAGCAGGTAAGTGAGGAAGCTCCTGTTCCAGGCAATGCCAGATAGCCCTAGAAAAATCCCCAAACTAAAGGAAACTTCCATTTCAGTTGGTATATCTTCTGAAAAATTCCTCAGATTCCCTGTGCCCAAAGTCCTATTAATCAGGATACAAACTGCTTGACAGAAGTTTCCTGAAGGTATATATCCCCTGTCCCAGGCTTCCCAGCATGTCACCCGTTTACATAAATCTCAAATCACAGAGAAACCATATCAGAGCTATGGGAAACAAGGGAGAAAAATCCCTGCTCCATCTTCTTTGTGCTTCTCCTATTCTACAATAAACATGTATTACTTTAGTGATTGGAGAAAAAAGTTATTTTTAAAATAGAGAAACAAGATGTTGCTTTAAGGAAGTTCTGCCAGTGGTAACCCTTTTACTGGAAAATCGATAGAATATGGGTTCACGGGCTTTCTAACAGTGATTGGCATGTAGTAAACACTATATGAATGTTTGGTAAATACATAACATTCTAGGCTGCGTGCAGTGGCTCACATCTATAATCCCAGCACTTTGGGAGGCCGAGGTGGGTAAATCAGTTGAGGCTGGAAGTTTGAGACCAGCCCGGCCAACATGGCAAAACCCTGTCTCTACTAAAAATACAAAAATTAGCCGAGGGTGGTGGCACATACCTGTAATTCCAACTACTCAGA